GATATCCAGTAATGTTCTTTTGAAGATCGGTCAGAGGAGTAGAGAGGAGTCCGACTGATTCGGGAGTTCCTGTTTTCAGCACAGGTCCTGCCGAAGCTCTAGCTGTAAATTATCAAGTTTGAGTTCCTTATCACCAGGGTACCGGTAATCTCTTACTCGACGCCATCCCAAGACCGCTCTGAAGAGCAAAGAGATATAACGACAGGAGCTTGGAGAAACCCATAAGGACGATGAGAGGTCATCCAAAATATGCTCCAATCATTTTATACTCTTCGAGCATTAGCTTGTGACCTTATGAAGCACACGGAACTGTCGAGAGTCGAAGGCTTCTAATGCTATTTTTGCATCGCTTAGGTTGGTGGAGAAGAAAGAGTACGCGCGACATGTCGAAGAGTCACATGTGTCGAAGAACTCCACTAGCTGAGTGATACCGGGATTGAGATAAGTCTATGGAAAGAAAACGGAAACAAGGGATCGATTTCTGCAGCAGAGTGAGAAGTTCAAGTTCAACCAGCTTTGGAGTCAAAAGCGAGGCTGCTGTTGTGGGCAACAAAAGCACACGCCAAATAAATCCACAGCCACCGATCATCTACTTACTGATTGCGTCAGTTATGTCTTTCTCCTTTTCCCTCTAGCTCTCAAATCTACTCGCGTTCGTGACCGGTATAGGTATAATAATGTCCGCTATGAGCCCTAGGGGCATAAATTCCGGGATACAACTTGATACATATCAATAATACGGAGCATTACTGAAATATTAGAAATTCTCTTCAATCCTTCCACGGTAGCACTATCGCCTAGTCTCACGCAGACCAAAGAGAGTTTGATAACACCAACATTTACATATCTGCAGGCCTCGTACCGATATTGTGAGAAGGGCAACTTGCGCATAACCCGGGACTGTAACATGCCGACCTACTCCTCCTCAGCCTTCAAGGCTTCTGCATCCTTCAAGCGCTTGATGTCCTTCTTGATGCTACTCAGCCGGCCCTCGAGGTCGACAGTATCGTTCTCGCACCATTGCGCCAAGGCCCATTGCCTCATGTAGACGCTGCACTGTAAACGCATTGACAGGTTAATTACGACGTAGAGAGGGAGTGTGGGAGGATGTACCCTGAGGTAACGCTTCTGCGAATACTTCTTGTACAACGACTGGTGCGTGATTGGATCGAGAAGGATATACTCGAGCATGATCTTTGCAGTGGGCAACAACTCATGCTCCTCAAACGTGGAATAATGTGCCAAATTCGCAGTCTACCATCATCGTCAGCAAGCAAAACATCGAGCAGAATGAAACTAGAAACTCGCCCATTCCTCGCGCCCAAGCGCCAGCCTCGCAAGCCACAGCCCAGTAGCTGCAATCAATGACGGCAACGTCCCAATAAGCTTCCACTCCACTAGCCCAATCTCCAACAAATACTTCGCCACCGTCCTCGCCTGGACCTCACAATCATCCGCCTTACTCCCCCTCCTTAACCAGCCCATCGGCCCCGGCGCGCGCAAATCCCACTCAATCGTGCGCAGCACATACCGCTCAGCCTTGAGGATATCTTCCACCGTATATTGGTCGTCCGAAAGGAAGGCGATCTCAGCCACCGCAGGTGCGTAGGTCTCCTCGAACTTGGTAGCGATGAAGAAGCAGGTGAGCCCGACAAGCTGCAGCTTAGTGAGAGAGATGGGGCGTGCCGAGAGGAAACGGTCGAGGATATTGATGCAGAGGAAGAGGGATTCGGCGAGGAGCCCAAATTTAGCGTGGACTTGGAGGATCCAGTCGACGAGCACACCACGGTGCTCCCAGGTGAGCTCGCCTTGGAACTTCATGTACTCTGGGTTCGGCATGGTGGTGACCTTGGAAACATAATTAGTATGCATTGAGAGAGCACGTGTGAAGAACTCTACCTCGATTTTCTTCCAATACTCGCAAATATCCCCAACGTATTCGCTGACCATGACAGGATCGTCCCAATCCTCTGCGTCGAGATCATCCCATAACTTCGGCTTAGCGTCCTCTATTTCAGCTTTAGCCTGAGCACTCATCTCCGCCTCCGCTTCAATCAAATCAGCTGCAACCTTATCCGCGTCCAACTGGGACTCATCCTGAACATGTTCCTCGACAACAGGAAGAGGAATCTCCATATGACGCTTCTTGAACACGCGATGAGTCTCCTGCTCGAGCTCTTCCTCCTCCTTCACGACCTCCTCGCGCACTGCATGGGACGTCGACTCGGCGCGTATGAACACTCGGGGACGATCTATCGACATCGCATTAGGATCTTTCTCCTTTTTCGCCGTGTTCTCAATAATTGGTTCCTCTGTGACATGCCTCGATACACTGGGTGCACGCGTGATACGGCGTGCAGTCGCTCCAGTAGTGGTACGGGTCAAGGTCCGAGCAGTCTTGGTGGTGGTGGTGGTGGTAGTCTTCAATTTAGCCACTTCAACCGTCGGGACCTCCTTCTCCTTGCCCTTAGCAGTGCCGCTCGACGAAGGTGGCTTCGCCTTATTGTTGGTCACCTGCTTGGTGACCTCGACGAGAACCTCACGCTTCCTCTTCCCAGCTACGATCTCTTCTACATTGACGGCCTTGGCCTTGGATGCTGCAGTCGCAGTAGTCGATCGAAGGGTGACAGCTGGTTGGGCAGTGGCGGCGATTCCAGTAGTTTTGGTGCGAGTGACTCGAGAAGGGCGAGCGTTGGCGTTTTCATTATCCTTGGTAGCTCTAATAGCACGTGCCGTCCTCCTTAGCTGTAAAATACAAGTCAGTATCAGTTAACAGAGGCGATGACATCAGGTACACTGACTGGAATACTGGACGACATCACGTTGATGGAAGATGGATTGGGTAGCGCGGCGAGAGATATAAGTAATAGTACAGAATGAGCTAGACCAGGAAATAAGCTATGATGAAACGTCGCTGAGGGGAACACAGATGGAGGAGTCGCAGGCGGAGAACAAGGGATCAGAGACGGGTCAGATCAATTTTGACAAGTTCGTGGCTCAGAAATACAACGACAAATAACGCGACACGTTCAATTGTCACGTGAAGTCGCGTCGCGTCCATTAATTAGTCTTCCACAACGGGACTGGTGGATTAGGCTTGGCGTCAACTTGGAGCACCCGTTTATTAAGGGATTTGTACTATCGATCCTTATCAATATTTTGAAGCTTTTCTAACAATAGCATGCATCTCATGTACAGTCATATATTCCTGTACATGACTCTGTGGCTGTGCCCATACATGCGGCGAGTGCCGAGCAGGAACAATGAGGCCAAAGACTTTCTTTCCCCTATACCGCCATCTACATATATCACAACCACCCTCAACCAATCTCGTATCCGGAAGTACAGTTCCACCAATGACTCTAAAGATCGATATTAACAATTCGTAAGTATAAGCTTCACTGGCAGCACCATGGATCTATTCTTATCTCGTTACCTTAACCACATCTAGCAAAGTCCATGGCGAGATCGATGGTATCCCCGTAGGAACGACGTTCAACGACCGACGAGAGCTTGCTGAGGCGAACGTTCATGGCAGGCCCCTGTGGGGCATCCACGGTACAGACGAGGACGGCGCATACGCTATCGTTCTCAATGGACAGTATGAAGACGATGATCAGGGCGAAATTATGTGTGTTCTCACCACCTATCTGTTACCGACTCATACTGACTTGCCACTAGCATCTACACAGGACACGGTCAGTCAATCTCAGTGCTCGTCTTCGTGACTCATTGCTTACTCAGGTGGCCTACAGGCAAAGGAAAGGCAAAAGGCGAAACTACCGTGCGTCAAATACAAAGATCTCATTTATGGCTCAACCCTCACAACCTCTCTTTGCAATCATAGACCCCTTTCAGCAGCACACAAATCGGTAACCAGGAGTGGAGATTGGGGAACAAAGCGCTGAAGGTATGCACCTCTCTTATTTTCCTTCCACTTATCGGCTAACGCTTTGACCCACCTGTAGCGTTCGTGTGAAAACAGGCTTCCTGTGCGTGTTATCCGTGGGCCTGATGGCAATTCCAAGTACTGTCCTCTTGAAGGGTACGTTAGATTTACACATGGCCCTCTTTTGTTGACTGAACAAAAATCATCAGATATCGCTACGATGGTCTGTACGACGTCGTCCGCTGCTGGCAGGAGAAGGACAAGAAAGGCGAATTCCTGCTCTGCAAGTTCGAGCTGCGCGTACGTAAACCTCTATTTCCTCCTCTTTCCCATCCCCACTGAACTAACTTTCCCCTCGGACAGCGCTCCAACATCAACCAACCCCGCCTCCCGCGCCCCACCGACGCCCCCAAATGGTGGGACTGGCGCAACCTCAGGCTTAAGCCTCCCGTCAACGTCCCCGAGCAGAAATTCGCCGCTACCACCTCAATACAAAAGAAACGAAAGCTCATTGCGGGCAAACGCAGGCTTGGTGAACTGCCTCGTATCTCAAAGAAGAGCAGGCTAGACGCCACTTCGTCTCCGACGGTACGGCCCACCGGAAGCAAGCCTTGGCCTGCTGGACTTTGATCTGGTCTGCTTCTTTGACTTAATTCCGTCTAGGCTGGCTTTGAACTAGGCCCATTGGAATGAACCATTTATATCTGTTATGAACCAGCTACTCATATCGTCGTCGAAGCTGGGTTGAGTATCTCCCTGGCTGGACTGGTATTTTTATATGTTGTCCGGATCACCCGTCTCCACCATTAAGTCACTCACTAAGCTCTCAAAGTTTTCTTACATACAAAACTTTTCTCCCGCTTCTCTCGCATTTCCATCGTCGTCCCATTCATATCGCATTCTAGGCTCTCTGTATTATTATCGTTGATAGTTGTGGTATTATACTCCCCAATAACCCGAAATCTTTGTATATACGGTACCTCCGTCGACTTGAATTACCATATGTTAAATGTTATGTCCTTTCTGTTTTCAACGCCTGGTTCCAAATTTGATGTTCCAATATATGGTTTTATAAGCAACCAAGATGAATACTCGTGCATATTAAATATATTCTTTGTTAGTATATCGGTTAGTACACGCGCCTGTCATAAAGTATTGAGTTTATTCCGGACGCGCGAAAGCTGGGTTCGACTCCCAGACAGAGAGTAACTTGAAGTGACGAGCATACGCCCTTTTTTTTCCTTCCTCGAAGCGTAGTTCATGTATACACATTTCATTGTTTTTACAAACGTATACAGAGAAGCAACACACTATAGCAGTGTTGGAATATAGTCACTAAGATTATGAGCGTTCTCGGTGAGGTACACTTCATTACATTATTTCGAGCTGCCATATGTTACCGTATTTGCGCTGTTCCATTAGTAAAGTAAATCCTGTATTTAGATTATCTACACATATTTGGGTAGAGTTACTTTCACGTTATGTACTCCTCCGTTTGCCTCACGAACTCAAACGACGCCGTCGCTTGTTTATAAGTAGGACACTGCGACAGATCGTCAAATTACATTGGAGCATTGACATAAATTACTTAGTCCTAGGCATACTCTGCATCACATTCCTAATACCTGTCTTCCACACCCCAATCTCCTTCTCCAACTCAACAACAAGATGCCGCACCTCCTGCCCTACCTCCCCACCTTCGTTCTTCCCTCTGCCAAAGCCAATTAACAACTCATTCCTCGCCCGAGCCAACGTCTCATACGCAAGCCTCACTCGCTGCGGGCCGGAGGGCGGATACATCGGATTCGGGCTCGCAGATCCAGGTAACAGTGGCGTTAGATTAGGAGCCGTATTTTCAGTAGACGGCGAAGTATCAGGACCTTTGACGTCCTTAGGCGCCGGCTCATCCACACTCAAAAGTTTGCCGAGCTCAGCGAGTGCGATACCTCGCACTGGGTGCCCATATTGGAGAACTTCCGAAAGCCCTGCATTGGATCGGGTACTAGCACGGATGGCTTCGTCTAATTTCTGCTGGGCGAATGTAGGAGAGGTGGCTGATTCTTGCTCGGTGACTTCGGCAATACCTGATTGTTCTTGGACCTGAGGTGAAGATATCTCCTCGATAGCAGCAGCAGGATTGGTTGATGGGAGTGCTGTGATGAGAAGAGAGGTATGCAAGCGCGATAAAGCCAGCAGTGGGTGAGTGCTAGGAAATAGGCCTGCTGAAGTGAGGATTGGGATTAGGTTTGTCGTCAGTTGGCAAGCTTTTTTGGGATCTACAAAAGTATGTCAGAACAATAACATCTGTGTTATATGAAGAGTCGTATACCTGAAAATTGAAGCCTCTCCGCTTTCTCTAGAGCTTCTTGGCCGACCCTTAGTGCATCCAATACCGTGTCAGTGTCCTTCACTGGAGACTTGCATTTGGTACACCTCGTCAAAGGATCTTCTATAGAAAATGTGTCAATACGGTACTGACTGACACCGGCGTAGAACGGAATAAACCTTCAGTGGGAACCGAACACAACCCACTGCACTTCCTCGGGCAATACATTGCTTCGCGATGGTCCACAGGTCGTGGCGAATGTGAACACAGAGAACAGTGACATGTAAAATGGTATGTCTCCCTTAAAGTTGCTTGACGAAGAGTTCGTGGAAGCGTGGTATCAATATACGAAGTGAGGATCTACGATAAAGCATACTGAGTTAGATGTCATTAGTACGAAGGACCAATAGCCGCTAACCTCTTCGTTAGGTGTAATATATTTCAGTGCTATCACTTGCATCCGTGGTTCCTCGTCCTTCTTCGCCTCACCACCTGCACGCGGAAAGACGATTACCGCGTTCGGGTCGCAGGAATGGTTGATAAGTGCAATCGCAGGGGATACGCAGGCCCCTAGCGGTGTGAGGTTTGGCGAGGTGAGCGTAAAGGTGTTGGTAGTGAACTTCGAAGATAGAAAGTTAATGAGAAGAATAACGCAGACATTGAGCGAAACATACCCTCGAAACGAGATCGACCAAGTCAGCGGCAGAGTGTAAACCATACTCTGCAAGACCCTCGGGGGAGGTAAGGCCAAGATATCGAACAAGCGCGTGTGCGAGATGTGTATGCAATTGCGAATGTTGGTCATCTACTGCTTTTGACAGAGATATACGATCTATTGTCACAATAAGCAAGTAGTTCTCATCAAGGAGCTATACATACGGGACTGCAGAGCTTGGATCTCCCTAGTCTGAGATGTAAGTAAGTATATGCTCTGATGTATGACATTTGATGCACGTACCCATATGCTCTCATGGCCTAATTTCTGCTTCCTCCAAAGGATCCGACCCAAGCAACGAACAGCATCGCTCGGGACTGCTACCGAAGATGAAGCGTCTGAGGAAGAAGGAGCAGCCGCAGCCCAGCGCTTCAAAGCTGGGCATTCGTGCTTATGCATTGACCAGTCTGCATTTTGACATTTCTGCACAAATTCTCAGTGAAAGATCGAACTGCACCGGAGAAATGACACACGGAATCACAATAATGTACCACTTTGCATGATTGGCATCTCTTGAGCGCCTCTCCGGGTCCAAAACAACTAGAGCAATGTGTTTCCAAGTTCTGATTCGACAATGCCGCAACATGAGGCTTTACTGAGATCAGTACGTCGCCTGTAAGATTCCACAGTTTAACAAGTGCCCCTGAGAATGGGAAATGGTCAGCTTACCAGGTCTCCATGGAGCTTTTGACCATATTCCCCGACCCTTTCCTTCCTCTGTGGACATCCTCACTTCCAGATTGGATAGTATCGCATTATTATAAAAGCCAGCTCGATCCACTAGCTCGCCACTCGATACGTCCACGTCCATTGCCTGGTCGGATATTGTTACTGAACTTTCCGGTGTTGAAGCAGGCGCCGCGTTAGATGCTATCGGATAAGTGGAAATGGCCTCTGCGGTGTCCACTTGCATACCAGAGTCGTCATTGGACAGTATTATAGCTTCGGCCTGGTCGTCAGACCGCTCCAAGGTGCAGTGATTGTTGAGCGCGACATTGGTGGCATTACTGACAGCAGACATGTACGATTTCTTGGCTTCCCTTGATTTCCTGGTTGCTTTGAGTTTTGCGAAGTCAGACATAGCTTATAGAAGTTCAAGTCGGAAAGGAGAATATGTTTTCTGAAGACATTCTACAAACTTCGAAGAGCATCATCAATGATTGAAGGAATCGGACATCGGGATTCGGAACGTGTGGTCTTTATTTCGCTTTGGCGTTCCTTCCAAATAAATACCTCCGTAAGTATTTGTTTCATTGGTAAGGCCCTTTCAGTTTTTCTCAACGTCCATGCAACGGTAAACTACCGTCCTCTTTTCTTCGTCCAATTTCCAAGTCCTACAGCTGGCATAATTCTATCGCATATACCACGGACAGTGTCGAGTGCCGCTTCGAATCTCGGGATTGCTTACCATCCAATCCGCGACCGCCGACTAGTAACACCGTGTCAATCACCACCGGAATGGGAGAGCTGTCAAATCACTCTATCGACAGGGTTAACGCTTCATATAGCAACCCACTCTCTTCCTGCTCAACATGCTCCGTCAACTCCAAGCCTTGTAAAGATGATTAGAGCGTCGTAGAACTTGCTTCGCCATCGTCAAAGAATTTGCTACTGCTCAGGAACGTGAGAACTACTGCAACGAGAAAACGAATACGAGAACACACTACTACACAGGGATTTTGGGGAACTATCGACCTTTATGGCCGTCTATACGTCGAAACAAGGGACTGCCAATTCAGTAACAGATACTACAGCTTCAAAAAGTCTGCTTACTATAGCTTTGACTAGAAAAGCATGTTTCTGATTCTATTACCCGTTGAAAGACGATATCCGCTTCCGAATGTTTGAATAAGTACCTATGGCATTCCCACTTCTCAGAAAAAGATAGACCCCGGCAAACTGCTCGCTCTCGGCCTCCACAATGACAATCTTATCCACCCTTACTTAGATTTATATCCTTTGCATCCTTATGAATACCTTGACTTCTCCATCAACCCTAACTACTTCGAACAATGCATGGGGTATTCATCTACACAATACCTGCATTCGAGAATTCATTGTTACGTCTGGCGGCTATTTTTCTACTCATTACATACCCTAGGAGTCCTTACGGAGAACCGACCGTTATTTTTGGGAAAGCGTATCGCGTTACTACAGCAGGACACTGGGATTTCGTACCTTCCAGACTACCACTCACTCCAAGAAATCGGTATTCATCTTTCAGGGAAGGATGCCTATGAGTACACTGGAAGGATTTGGACAGAATAGACTCCCATAACCAACGGTTGGCCGCGTATGTGTGGAGCGGAAACGGAGTTGTGGACGAAGAGCATCCTGTTAATCCGATGGGTGATGTGTGGCCTCGTGAGAGGAAGATCCACGAGTTTCTGGATATGGATTATTTGACCTCAATAAATCTCAAGTACCCCAGGATCTACTCGGCTAGAGGAGAAGAAGTAGAAGAACTCTAGGAAGAATAAAACAGAAGAAGTAAACTTTATTATTGAAATTACCTTCTGCATAATTTCTCTGTTGTCATACCGTCTGCAGTTGGTCGAACCCTATATATATGTAGTCCACAGTATAAAAGGTCTCTGTAGGAGGCCCAGTACCAATAAGACTTGGCTTTCTACTGTGCTACGCATCCTCGATTTCCAACACCTTCATTTCTATCCATAATAGGATTGATCTCACAGATATATGACATCTGTGAAAGAGGCACGTTTAGGTAAAACTAGATGCGTTGAACAGAGAAGACTTTGGCGCGAATGAACTTTCAAAACGAGTCAACAAGCCCACACAACAAAAGGACGTAGTCTTCTTGATCGCGCTAAAACTCATCCTTATCCTCCGTCGAACTGTCCGTAACTTTTCCCCTCCAGTATACAAAACCTGCAAGTTTAACAATATAGAATTAAATCCGATGTTATTATACAACTAGACATTAGGTCTCTACTCCTTGCTTCACTTCCACGGCCTCCCTCAATCCACCTGGTCCTTCCTCTCCTGCACTTCCAACGATCGCTTGCACCGTCGCAGCCAAACCACCTGGCTCAGTTGTATCATCTAATGCATCACCCGACTTCGCTCGTGGCGGAGGCTCGACGTCCGCCAAATCCTCCGCACGATGCACGTCTTCTGGTGTAACCCATTCCATGGATATCT